TCGCCGTACACTGGTAACTTGCTGCCGTCCACCATTGTTGCAGAAAATGCTGATGGCTTGTACTCTTCTCGAAGTCGGTCGATGGTTGCCTTATCGCATACGGTGTGCGATGCTCTGCTGTCCACGAGTGCTTGGAGGCGTCGTCCTTTGTAGATGACCTCGAGCATGAGGGGCAGGCGTTGCTCGGAGTACCCATAGATAGTTTCATTGATTGGGTCATAGGGTACATCCCAATATTCGTTGCTTCCTACTCCTGAGCTGGCAGCTAGCCGAGGCTGCTTGGAGAAAGGCTCTTCTCCAGGGCCTGGAGTTCCCGTGACGACTGTTCGTGTCGTTGACGAAGTTGCCGAGTTGGATGCATCCGAAGAAGGAGTTCGGGATTTTTGCAGCTTCTTGTAGACCCCCAGCTTCCTTTTGAGCTACTTCAGCTCCACCGACGTCTTCCCTAGGGAACGGGTAGTCGCTGTGGGCTGGTGTTGGGAGAGGACGTTGACTCCGTGGAAAGGTCGGCTTCTTTCCACACTCCTTAATTTGGTCCCCAAGTTCTCTGGTACCGGTATGATCTCCACAATTTTCTGCTGTCCCTCCCGTAATTTCTCCAAGGCTCTAGCCCCTCGAGAATTACAAGTTTTCATTAAAGCATCTTTATAAGATAACTTTAACGAATCCTTATAATTTTTTTGGTCTTCCAGGAGTTTCCCCGTCTCGGTAGAGTCTTTTTTCGTGGAGTTAGATTTTTCCTCGGCGAATTCCTCTGGCAAAGACTGGTCGTGGGGTGGAGATTTTTCCCTATCATTTTCTCATGTTCGCGTCGAATCAGCTGCGTCGAAGTTGATTTTCCGGAAGTCTCCGGCCGCTTTCGGATCTTTTCTTTTTCGCCAGCTAGATCCGCAATTACTGGCGAGTCCCGTTTTTTGGCTTCTGATTGGCCGAAGGATTTCCGCCACTGCTGCGTGCCCGATACTCAGCGCGTGCGGCTTTCATTTTGTTGCAGTCGAAGATTCGATGACCCGGCACCCCGCAAAAATCACACGTGAAGTTGGTGTTTTTCGGACGTGGCCGCCCTTCGAACTTGTCGACTTCCATCGGGTCGGCGAACGTGGGGTGAGCCGAGCGGTCGCCCTGTCGCGTACTGCCGACGTGCGCCCGTCGTGTCCCGGTGTTGACCATGTCGAAGCGTTCCGCGGCCGATACGACGTCACTGTAACTCGCGTAGTTTGTCGCTGCCACTTGTCGTTTGACTTCGGTCTTCAGCCCGGCGAAGTACGACTGTACTTTTTCCCCTTCGGTCACGTCGGGAATGCGGTTATAAAATTCTTCCATCTGCTGCGTGTACTGTGCTACACTCCCGAACAATCGATGGCGATGAATTTTTTCCCGGGCAAGGAAACCCGAATTTATCGGCTCGAAACGTTTCAGCAGGTCGGTGCGGAACTGCTGCCACGTGGCTTCGCCGTAGATGAAGGTGCTGTTACCGCCGATCCACTCGAGTGCCGGTCCTCGCTTCAGCGTCGCTGCAAGTCGTACGCGTTGACCGTCCCAGACTGGCGAGCTCCATCTGGCGGCTGCAAAGTAGATCTCCATGCCGGTGATCCATCTGCGGACGTCGGAGTTTCGATCGCTCGCATCGAACAGCTCAGGTGGGCGCGGTTTCGGAGCCTCGAGAAACTGCTGCGACTGCTGCGTCATCGCCGTTGTCGTTTCGTGTTGCGCTCCGGCGAGTCGAGCTACTCGCTCGAACTCGTTTCGCCACGCTTCGCAATCCGATCGCATCTCCTCCTGAAGGGCTGCGGTGCTCACGAAGAGCTGCTGGGTAACTTCGACGGTGTCGAAGTTTGCCATCCTGTTCAAAACACGCGCGGGGGGGGGGGGGGGGGGGGGGGGGTAATTTGAAAAGGCGCGGAGCTGGTGCTTACCAGAATCGGCGTCGAATTGGTCGCCCCCGGCGGTTTTTCGAGGCAGGAGTCCCGCTGCGGCTGCTTAGCTGAGCGTGGCCGAGTGAGAAAAACTCTGATTACCAAGTGTCATAGGGTCGAATGTGTCGAGGAAAGGTCCCCTATCGATCAGTACAAGGCGCTTTTATACTTCCAAAGTACATCAGGTAACCAGGTTTATCCTATCCAAAGGGTTTAGACCCTTCTAGAAAATATAATCACCCTGCGTATAGCCACGCGAGGCTATTGGCTTTAAGGGATTACGGCATGATTACGCTAGATATAGCGCACCAGTACATCCCGAGTAGATATAATGATAATAACATGATAAACAAAGGTTTTATGGAAAAGGAGAAATAGGAATCCAAATGGAATGAGATAAAACCCAAATGGATCAGGATGAAAAGAGGAATGAAATGGAAAGGGAAGATGGAAAGGAGAAAGAAATGGAACGGGGTCCTACTCTCACAAAATGCATGACTATAAAATTTGATATTATTATGTTAGTGATGGTAATTGTTGTTCCCCAAGTGAGAATGCGAGTATGGGGTACAAAGGGCCAAGTTTATGCACTATTGGTCCTAGAATTATTGAGGCTAGCTTGACTCCATTATTGCCACTCCATTATTGGTTTGGAGCCAAAAGAGTAGTACAAATCCTTGTACTTTCTTCGAGCAGTCAACCATTTCCGGTTCAACGCTTCCGCTACGCGACATAGTCCGATTTCCTACAAGAACGGCAGGGGGAATACCAGCCAAGCGACAGCGAGAAGTGAAAACGAATCGAGAAACCCTAGCTGAACTGCCAGTCGATGCAAAAATGAATGATCTAATGTTAACGTTTTCATACTCATCACGCAGCTTAGCACAATCATGTATGATTCGAAGGGCATTTGGAAGATTTCAGGTCTAAACCTTTATGCCAACACATTATCCGTGACACATTTTATTTGTTAAAAAAAATCTGAAATAAATATCTACATAAAAGTGATGATAGCCGAATGAAGTGAGCTAACCAATATGAATGTCCATGTCATGTATACGTGTTTTTTTTTTTTTTTAATCAGCTATGATTATCAACCCTGGTAATTCATTTCCACGTTTTGAACCCAACATACTTTCAAGAATCGTCTTAGGGTTGCGGAGCTGCTTACATATTTCAAGTTCTAAACCCTAAGACGATTTCGTCTTTCGTTTACGGGACGCGTAAGACACAGGGTTCGCCCAAAAAAATAGCTTGAAGAATCAGCATTCCCTGTAAAATCCCTTCATGTTTTTCCGGATAGTTTGGTACGAAGCGTCTTGGAGCATCGAAATACAAAAGCAGTAAGCACACTTACACCATAACGCTACAAACCGGGCTATTGTGATAAACACTAGCCGCACACCACTGCACGTCTGTGCTCTCCCTCACAAAGGTTCACAGCGTAGCAATCGAACCAGAATGAGTTTCGGGCCCATATGGATGGTTCCTGGTCCTGGAGAAAAACGTCCGGAAATGGCCAAGAGGTTTGTGAAACCGACCCTATCAAAATCCGAATTCCAACACAAAACATTCCTGAATGTACCTGATATTCTAGATGTTTATCCTTGAACCTAGAGCCCTGGAGTGTACTACTATACACCTGATGCCCTTTTGTGTCCTAATTTATTTTAGGGCGAGTGCTCTTGTGTTGAGCACAAAATTATCTCGACAAAACTGGGCTTGTACATTGGACAAGGGTTGCCACGTTGGCAGCGATGTTGTGAAAAGGGTGCCCTGCACTGTTTTTTGTGAATCTGGGTAGCAACAAGAAGTATTCCTGCAATTTATTAGGGATACATAACATGACATGAACAAAATGGCTACCCGTAAAAAAGCAGTCGAGTAGAAAACAAATAAAAGAAATCCCGATTTACACGACTAATCTTGCTCCCTCCAGTCCCCATTATCCATCAAAAACCTCTCTAGTGCGTCAATGGTGTATATTCCAGCACCATAGGCAATCGCCGCTTCGTGCTGAGAATCTCCTGCATATGCTAACCCGCCTGCATCAGTAGCCCCTACCCCAACTTCCAGACCTACAGCTGTCGCTCCCAAATGCTCCATAAGGGGGACAACAGCAGAATTACTCTTGTACCTGTAATATGCCACACTCTCCATGTGAGAGTGTGGGAAGGTAGGCGTGAGACCCCTGGCAGCAAAAGAAGCGTGCTGCATATTTCCTAGGGCAAGTGGGGAGTTGGGACCCCCGGCAACAAATGGAGAGTGCGGCCCATTTTTCAGGGAAAGCGGGGACCGGGGACCTCGAGCAGAGTATGCAGCCTGCTCTATAGCATCCCAAGACAGCAGGGAGCTGGGATTCTTGGCACCAGAGGCAGCATGCACATCTTTCGAACACTCCGAGGCTCGGCAGCAGAGGCAGTGTGATGCACATTCTCCAAAAGGACCACGTCCACTGAGGGGTGAGGCAGAGGAGCGCTCAAGTCTGCCATGATATGCTGATGCCCACTAATATGGTGTTCTATGATAGGCCGGTACTCATTAGGCTGTTAAGCAAAAGTCTGGTCAGCTCTAGGCCGGTCAGTGCTACGCTGGTTAGTGCGAGGCTGGTCAGCAGCAGCAGCATCGCCACTGTATGCAGCCTCCAACTCCTCTGCTGCAAATTCCTGCATGAACACATCCCCGCCGCTGCTGGCCGCACTGCCCTGCTCTGTGTCATCAAACTCCCCAGCTGGGGGGGGCATCGCCGCCAATTGTTCGCTGACACCCTGCTCTGTGTTGCTGTGCTGCAGGCTGACAGTACTGTCGAAGATGGTAGGTGGAGAAGCAGGAGTGGGAAGGAATGGGTGGGAGTGGAAGGCAGAGGCACTGTGGGCGACAGCAGGGTTCAAGAGAGGAGAGGTCAAGGGGGGACAGGTCAAGGGGGGAGAGGTCAAGGGGGGAGAGGGAGATGTTAATGGGGGAGAGGTCAAGAATGGAGAGGTCAGAGTGGAAACGGAGTGGCTGCAAGAGGAGAGAGGGCGCTGGAAAGGTTTGAGCAGCTCTTGCTGCTGCTGCTGCACCAACTGCTGTTGCTGCATTGGCTGCTGCTGCTGGGACTGTGCCTCCACCAACTACTGCTGCTGCTGCTGCTGCTGCTGCTGCTGCTGCTGCTGCTTCTGCTGCTGCTGCTGCTGCTGCTGCTGCTGCTGCTGCTGCTGCTGCTGCTGCTGCTGCTGCTGCTGCTGCTGCTGCTGCTGCTGCTGCTGCTGCTGCTGCTGCTGCTGCTGCTGTTGCTGCTGCTGCTGCTGCTGCTGCTGCTGCTGCTGCTGCTGCTGCTGCTGCTGCTGCTGCTGCTGCTGCTGCTGCTGCTGCTGCTGCTGCTGCTGCTGCTGCTTCTGCTGCTGCTGCTGCTGCACCATCAGCCGCTCCTCCACCCACGGCCACTGCTGTCCCTCCAACAGTCCCTGCTGCAGCGGATGCTCCATCAGCCCCTCCCTGTACTTGGTAACAAGGCCCCGGACCTGCTCCTCCCACCACCTCACTAGGCCCTGACCGTACCTGCTAGCAGGCGCTCTTGGCTGGAATGCTGCCATGTGCAACATTGCCCTGCCCAGCTGTCCTGCTCCCACTGGCCCCTGGTCCCGAGACCGCGAACACTGGCAGCAGCTGCAGCAGCAGCTATCCCTTCAACCGCCAAGCTGCCATCCCAAGCCTCTCCACTACCCACACATGCAGCAGAAATATCTGCAGCAGCACCACCCTCCCTAGCATCCACATCCCCCACACAACCACAAGTACCAACACCACCCACAGCACCCGCCATAGATCCCCCACCACCCATACCACCAGCGTTACCAGCACAACCGGCAGCGCTCGTACCACCCGCAGCACCTGTGTCACCTTTGGAGGGTTGGGAATCTGGGGTTGGATTTCTAGGGACAGGCGACTCCAGGGGGAAAGATACGGTGTGGCTCCGACCCCACACAGACACAGGCTCGAAATGAGGCTCCGACCAAAGCTGGTTGGAAACCTCGAAAGCATTGTCGTTTTTCTCCAAAGCTGGGGTATGCCTTCCCAGGTAGGGCTCCTTCCAATCCTTAACAGGGGACATGTCATTTGTGAAGTCTGCATAAGAGCAACGAGCAGCAGCAGATTTGCTCTTTGGTGCTGCTGCTGCTGCTGCTGCTGCTGCTGCTGCTGCTGCTGCTGCTACTGCTGCTGCTGCTGCTGCTGCTGCTGCTGCTGCTGCTGCTGCTGCTGCTGCTGCTGCTGCTGCTGCTGCTGCTGCTGCTGCTGCTGCTGCTGCTGCTGCTGCTGATGCTGCTGCTGATGCGGCGGCGGCGGCTGCTGCTGCTGCTCTTGCTGCTGCGGCTTGTTCTGGTAGTGCTGAAGCTGATGCAGATTCACGACTAGAGACGAGCACCTTGGCATGGTTAAGGCATACCGCATGTCGTCATCATGCCAGTTGGTATCATGCTGCTTAAGACTTGCCCCAAAAGGCGTCATTATGACAGAAGCATATTGTATGTTGTGATCATGCTGGTCGGAACCGCTGCTCAAGACGTGCCCCAATGGGTGCACCATGCCAGCAGTGTACTGCATATCTGCATGCCAAGATGAGGGGAATACCACTGCAGCCTCGTCTGCACATGGCAAGGAGGCCCCTTCACCAAAATCTCCCAGTCACCTCCACGGCCCATAAACCCGCGTGTGCTTGGCTTGGCGGTGCTTGCGGCTCTGCGTGTGGCTGGACTGGCCCTGCTGATGCTTCCTGTCCCAGCAACGCATGTTGTCCTGCCGATGCTTCTTGGACGCCTAGACTTGTGGCCTTCTCCATGCATAAAATCCCTGCTTCTGCTGTCCCTGCTGCCCCTGCTGCCCCTGCTGCCCCTGCTGCCCCTGATGCCCCTGCTGCCACAGCTGCTCCTGCTGCCTCTGCTGCCCCTGCTGATCCTGCTGGCATCACAACACCTGCCTCCCGGCCCCATCGACCACGTTGACTGCATTGACCCTGGGCAGAGGGAGCAAATGGCACAGCAGCATTGGATGCCTGAAGAGGCGTGGGTGCCTGAACTTGCCAGTTCCACTACCAGCGAACATCACAGGAAATCCTGTCTTTTCCTCTTCTCCTGACTGTATCTGGCTCGCAGCTTTTGTTCTCTGTAGTCATAGCTACCGCAGCTCTCTGTGGAGGCGGCAGAGCAGGAGGTGACAGAGCAAGAGCGGTAGAGGAGGGAGGCAGCAGAGCGAGAGCAACTAAGGGAGGCGGCGGAGCAGGAGGCAATAGAGCGAGAGCGGCTAAGGGAGGCGGCAGAGGAAGAGCGGCAGAGGAGGGAGGTGGCAGAGCGGGAGGAGGCGGCAGAGCGAGAGCGACTAAGGGAGGCGGCAGAGCAGGAGGCGGCAGAGGGAGAGCGGCTTAGGGAGGTGGCAGAGCAGGAGGCGGCAGAGCGAGAGCAGCTAAGGGAGGCGGCAGAGCGGGAGGCGGCAGAGGAAGAGCGGCAGAGGAGGGAGGCGGCAGAGCGGGAGGAGGCGGCAGAACGAGAGCGACTAAGGGAGGCGACAGAGCGGGAGGCGGCGGCAGAACGAGAGTGACTGAGGGAGGCGGCAGAGCGGGAGGCGGCAGAGCAAGAGCGGCAGAGGAGGGAGGCGGCAGAGGAAGAGCGGCAGAGGAGGGAGGCGGCAGAGTGGGAGGAGGCGGCAGAGCAAGTGCGACTAAGGTAGGTGGCAGAGCGGGAGGCGGCGGCAGAGTGAGAGCAGCAGAGAAGGGAGGCGGCAGAGGGGGAGGAGGCGGCAGAGCGAGAGTGACTAAGGGAGGCGGAAGAGCGGGAGGAGGCGGCAGAGCGAGAGCGGCTAAGGGAGGCAGCAGAGCGGGAGGCGGCAGAGCATGAGCGGCAGAGGAGGGAGGCAGCAGAGCGGGAGGCGGTGGCAGAGGTTGAGAGATTGAGGGTGTGGGGTGATGTGTAGCAACTAGTAGCAACAGACCCGAGCGGTGGGGTTGCAGTGATTTACGAGGAGAAAGACGGAGGGTTTGTAGAGGCTGGGCGAGATTTGGAGGGGGGTGTTGAGCCGACTGGAGCCCCGCCCTGCTTCATCGTCGGCAGACTCTGCTGGCACAGTTGGTGACTTGCATCGTGGCTGACATCCCCACGCAGATGAACAACGTCAGTGCTCTGTACTGACGGATGCAAGAGTGGGACAGGAAGTACAACGCCGATGCTCAGGCACTTCTTCAAAAGTACCGAAACATCAAAGCGACGCTAATGGATGAGTGTCAATGTGGAGAATCTGCGTGGCAAGCGCTTGTGAATAGCACAGCAGAGCTGCATGAGGTGGCAGCGGCAGCAGCGGCAAAGGCTGTGGCCCAGGGGAGCCAGAAACTCCTCCGGTCCATCGGCAAGAGCGTTCAATCGGCAGTTGACAAGGCCATGGCGCTCGCAGCAACCGAAGGCCGTTTTAAGGTCGTTCTGCTGAGCGACTATATGATGTCGATGAAGTCTGCCATCCTCGCGGTGGTAAAGGAACGCCTCTCAGCCTCCGTCTCAACACAACCCCCCTCAAACAACCCATGCGCTCCCGGGCCGACGGCAACGCCCCCGATGAATGCTGCAAATGGACCCCTCCCACCTGCTCCACCACCTCCGGAACAAGCAGCAGCACCTGCACCCGGGTCCAATCAGCTGTTTGGCAGGATGTCAACTGCGAGGCCAATGCCTACTGAGCACCTACCATACCAGATAGATGACGCGCCTCCGCTGACGGTCGAATCTCCGGAATGCCATGTTGCCGTGGCGGAGCGTGTTGTGGAAGCATGGGTCGCTTCGGACAGCTGCAATCAAGGGGGCGGAGGGAGTGGTGTGGGAGGTACCGAAGAGACATCCGGCCTGCTGGGCACAGAGCACGGTGGTCCGTTTGGGGTGGCGGAGAGGAGGGCAGCGAGGCATGCGCGGGAAAGGCAATTGGAGTCGCAGCGCCTGTCGGAGGAGAGGCGGGTGGCACAGAAGTGAAAGGAGGATGAGAGAAGGATGGTAGCACAAGCGGGGGGAGAGAGGCAAGGCCACGTTGAGAGCGCAGAAGTCAGGGGCAGAGAGGGGCGTGGGAGAGGTGATGGCGGGCAGCAGAACCAAAGGAAGCGCAGAACAATGCGCCATGCCAAGCAGGCCCTCAACTCAAACAGGCCAACCTTTGGCACCGTGACACTCTATGTCGAGTCGGATGACGATGCGGAGGAGCAGCCGCTGGGGACCCGTCTGAGAGAGCTGAGCAGCAGGAGCGCCCCACGGGAGCGCGCGTGTCGGCAGCAGAGAGAGGAGGGGGTTCAGAGTGAGGAAGATGTGCGACGGACTGTACCGCATGAGGGAGACCAGATGAGACAGGCAGAGCATATGGAGCGGCAGAGGTCACAGCAGGGCCTCCCATTGGAAGCAATGGAGCGCGAGAGGGAGTGAGTGAGGGTGGAGCGGCGGTGGGAGTTGCAGAGACAGGACGCGAGGGAAGATCGACTGAGGGAGAGGCACAGAGCAAATCGCCCGACGTCAGCGGGGACACATGGGGAAAGGGGGAGACAAGAGAGGTTGCACGAGAGAAGTGAGCTTTGGCGGCACACTGATTCAGCCCTAATTACGCGGAGGGCTGTGGAGCATTCCAGGCTGCATCAGGGGGAGGGGGAGATGGTAGAGGCGCAGAGAGAGCTGTTCAGTCCTGAGAGGTTGTACCAGATGTGGAGAGCCGAGCAGGAGCGGGTTGAAAGAGACTTGGAAGCCGACCGGGAAAGGGCGAGACAGAGGGCAGAGCAAGCGTGGGTGCGGAAGGAGAGGGAGGAAGCCGAGCGGGAGCGGCAGAGGGCAGAGGAACAGAAAGCATCAAAGGCACGAGCGCGTGAGAGGGAGGAAGCATCGCGGGTGAGCGAGAGGGCACAGAAGCAGAGAGCAGCAGAGGCACAAGCGCGTGAGCGAGAGGAGAGGGAGGCAGCTGAGCGGGAGGGGGAGAGGGTGAGGGCAGAGGAGCTTAGAGCGGAAGAGGTTGCGCGGGGGCGTGAGCGGGAGGCGAGGGAGAAAGCAGAGCGGGAGAGGAAGAGGGCAGAGGAGCGCAGGTCGGCCGAGGAGAAGCGGGTGCACGAGCGGCAGGAGAGGGAAAAGGCAGTTGAGCGGGAGATGGAGAGACTGCGGGCAGAGATACAAAAAGCGGCAGAGGTGGCGCAAGTGCGCGAGCAGGAGGAGAGGGAGATGGCTGCTGAGCGTGAGAGGGAGAGGGTGAGAGTGAGGGCAGAGAAACTTAAGGCAGTAGAGGAGGTGCGGGAGCGTGAGCTGGAGAGGGAGGCAGCAGAGTGGATGAGGAAGAGGGCAGAGGAGCAGAGGGCAGCAGAGGAGGCGCGGGTGCGCGAGCGGGAAGAGAGAGAGAAGGCTGCTGAGCAGGAGAGGGAGAGGGTGAGGGTTGAGAAACTTAAAGCGGCAGAGGAGGCGCGGGAGCGTGAGCGGGAAGAGAGGGAGCAGGAGAGGGAGAGGCTAAGGGCAGAGGAACTTAGAGCGGCAGAGGTGGCGCGGGTGCGCCAACGCGAGGAAGCGGAGCGAGAAAGGGAGAGGCAGAGGGTGCACGAGCTGAGAGCGGCAGAGGTGGCACAGATGCGCGAGCGGGCGGAGAGGGAGAAGGCAGCTGAGCAGGAGAGGGAGATGGTGAGGGCAGAGGAAATTAGAGCGGCAGAGGAAGCGCGGGAGCGCCAGCAGGAGAGGGAGGCGGCAGAGCGGGTGAGGAAGAGGGCAGAGGAGAGGGCGGCAGAGGAGACGCGGGTGCCCGAGCGGGCGGAGAGGGAGAAGGCTGCCGAGCGTGAGAGGGAGAGGGTGAGGGCAAAGAAACTTAAAGTGGCAGAGGAGGCGTGGTAGCACGAGCTGGAGAGGGAGGCGGCAGTGCGAATGAGGAAGAGGGCAGAGGAGCAGAGGGCGGCAGAGGAGGCGTGGGTGCGCGAGCAGGAACAGAGGGAGATGAAGGCGCAGAGGAAACGGAGCGATGGCATGAGAGGACAAGGGTAGAGAAAGTGGACTCGGTAGAACACACGGGGCGCGGGCGCCTGCAGATCGGGCCTGAAGAGGGTGAGCCGGAAAGTGCAGAGAACCAACACTGTGCCAACTCGCGGCAGAGTGGATCGGAATCGAGGCACAGACGATCCGGGAAAAGGTGTGGACGAGGAGACAACCTGCGTCATGACCGCAGGCCGGCAAAAAGGCAGTGCCCCAAAACAGCCCCACCACGTTTGGCGCCACTGGCCTCTCATCACTCGGATGACGACGGCTCCAAAAACGAGTCCATGAGACAACGTCTGGGAGTGTGGCAGAGGGAAGATATGGAGACCGTGGCACTAGCCATGGGAGGGTACACTAGCCAGGCCCGGATTTTGTAGCGAATGGTCCAGCCCGGGATTTTGAACGGACAGTGGGGGGAAGGAAGCGCAACATGGGCTGCCACGTCGAGGCGTGGAAGCGCGACTTCGTGATTGCAGTTTGCTGGAGCGCGTTCTTCCCTGATGTCAACCTGCACCACTACAAGCTGGACCAGATAGTGGTGGCCATGGTCGACTTGCTGGATTTTGCCAAGCTTCTGCCAAATGGAGTTTGGAGTGTAATGAACGAACTCTGCCTCGACCAGCATGATACGTGAGCCGTCTCCCCTTCCGCTCTACCGTCGTGTATGATGTCAACATGTCAAGTCATGCACCTTGTTATGCACCCTACTAATGTTTCTCTGCATTTTACGCAGCTTCAAGACGGTCGTGGAGGTGACGCTCGCCAACCTCGATGAACGGCGCAAGGTGCCGGACTCGGAAGAGCGGGGGTTGCCACCATCACTGGAGGGGGGCGTAAAGGGGTGATGCCGCCACCAGCAGGCGTAGACCCGGTCGTCTACTCTGCTGGCATAGCGGCGGCATTATACACGCTATGGGCCACCTCCTACTGCCTCCCAGTGGAGGATCTAAAGGAGGATGCGGCTGAAGCAGCAACCATGACGAGCAATGTGAAGTACAGGAGCCTGGTCGCCTCAGCCGCAATTAGCGGCATTGCAGCTATGCGCGAGCTTAAACATAAGGTCGACAGGGAAGACATTCTATATCCCGCAATTCTGAAGAATGTTGAGGGGGAAAAGATGGAGCCGACCGTCCAGGGCATGGCCAGGGCTGTCGCACGCGTCGTGATGCAATGGAGTCTGTGCGGCATAGCGTCGGTGATCCTAGACGTATACGAGGTTGGTCTGCTGATCATCATGCAGAAAAAACGCAAGGGGAGAAAGGGACCTGGTCAGACTACCGTGGAGGATGTAGTGGAGGAGGCCGGAAATGCTGCAGAAGCGGCAAAAGGGTGACTGACGCCAGAGCTGGAGGACGAGTGGGGTGACACACGCTGCTGCTCCACGTAAACATAGTGTCCCAACGTAGTTAGCTTGTAACACTGAATTGACAAGCGTTTGCCAATGGAATATGCATGGTAGAGTTCCAAACTAGATATAGCTTCAGTTGTATATACGCTCTGTTGTGCTTGTTCGATTGCATGTGCATGTTCGGTTGTATGTGAGTACCGAAACCAGGCAATGTTGGATGCTTGACACAATGCAGCACGTAGGGAGAACAAGGCCACCACTACTGCCTCGAAATCGAATGTATTCTGCCTTGCAAAACATGTACACAACAATGTTGGCAGAACCCGATACATGCCCGTTAGAAAAGCTGCCACAAGCGGCAGGCTCCAATATACTCTGCGCATGAATGCACGTAAACATAGGCGTTCGACACGCCAGGGGCAGGACGGCTAGGACGACACACTGGCAACTCTACCACATCCTTCAAAACCATCTAAGACCCCATGTTCACCGACACAACAGTGCAGTACACCTCTGCGCCGCTAACCAGACTCCACCCATCCCTTCTTCTCCCCTCTTTCTACCTTTGCCTTCTCTTCTGCCCACATCTGGGGCCACTCGTCCCCAAACGTCGTATTTCCCCAGGCATGATTCTGAATACCTACCGCCACGAGCAGGTACGCAACTCGGGCATGCTGTTCCTCCGTCAAGGACTTCTCTCCGCCATCGGTCGAAGATCGAGCCCTTTTTTAAGCAACTTGGAGAGAACAACGCCATCTGAGAGTGCGCTCATGGAGGTCAAATCCTTCAGCCGCTCCACAATCGCCACCGCCGAAGCCGTGGCCACTTCCGTATTGTCCGATCGGAAGTGATCAAGCGCATCCATCAACTTTTTTATGCGCTTCATCTTCCGGTCACTGGTCCCGTCTTTTACGTTGAGAACCTTGCCCTCTGCGAACTTTGCATACTGTATGTGAGGAAGAATTCAAGGGTCGCATTGAATACATCGCGCAAGCTCTTGCCAACCTCGAGCAGGCACACCTTGTCCCAGATCATCCAGGCATCCTTGACAGTCTTGCTCTCACGCCATGGCAGAACCAGACCATCGAAAATGATCTGCTCCGCCAATCGTGTGCGTGGCACACTTGCGGGCGCGGGCAGGGCATGCTCTCCGGTAGAGACCTTCTGATCCTCGGACCCCGCTTTCGCCTCTGCGAGGTCGGCCTCCAGCTGTCGCTCTCGCTCGGCCCGTCGAGCGACATCATGCTCGAGGACCTGGACCCTTTCCTCCAGGGTGTTGACCCTAACCTGCAGTTGGAGGTTCTCGACCTGCAGCCTCCCTGCCTCTGCCCTGATCAAGCCTTTCTTGACATGGAGCTTCTCAATCATGTGCATTGCTGTTATGCAATACAGCGCATCCTGCAACGAGGAATAACCCTAGCAAATTCACATCCCGCCCGCACAGTCGGTGTCCCGGCGTTCGGATGCAGGGTTCGTGGCGAGGATAGTATCATGACCATGCTGCAACCTCGTGCATCAGGCACGTGTTTTAATGGCATCGCGCATCCGGCGCGCATTCCAATGGCGGCGGGGCGTTTCAATGGCGGTAATGAGTTTCTGTCGCGGTCTACCTGAGGAGCTCTAATTCCCTCGTCCACGAAACTGAGTCTGGCAGTGGTGCGTGTTTCCTTACCGACGTACCTCTTAGTACGTGGTCCGCCTTGAGCACAGCCGTCTAGGGCGGTTCGGGTGGGGCGAGCTGGGGGTGGTGTGCCAGGCGACGGCCAGTCTGACCGCCCTGCACCTAATCAGGTCACAGCACCAAGTGGTGTGGGACTGCTGATGGCCCGTGGGGCTGGTTGCTGGGAAGTGCGGTATTATGGGTAAGGTGAGAGCAGGGGTTGGGCGCTGGCGTGGTTTTGGAATTGGCTCGTGGTTCAGTGTTGTCGCATGATAGGTTTGGGATCTGGTGGGCACGTTCGAGGTGCTCCCCTGGTTCGGGTTCAGGTTTGGGTTGATTTGGCGAACAAATCTTTGTCGCCAAATTTTCTCGTCACACCCTTTCGTGTTCGTACCTCGCCCTCCAATCCCGATGCAACAGTTCGCTTCCTAGTGTTAAACCTTTGTAATTATGAGATGGGGGCTTTAAGTTGGTGAAGGCCCTCGTTTCGCCAACTAAACCGCTTTCGTACCTGAGCCTCGCCAACTACACCGCTTTCGTTTCGAGCCTGAGCCTCGGACAGGCTTGGCACTACGGGCAGCCCGTGCGCAAATTCTGGGGCGGGCGGATCTGTCGTACTCGGCGCAAGCTTGCAGCTGTGCTCCGCTCAGTCTAGCCTCGCTAGACAAGAGCAGCTAGACTCGCTCAAAACGCCGCGCAAATCCGCTAGACTAGGCCCTCGAGTGCACAAACAACTTCGTGTATTCCCTCGTTAATCAATACTTCTACACAAGCTCTTAGCGCTTCATTACAGCTGCGCAGTGCTCACCACGTATTTTATCACTTCACGGGACGCCAATAAGCGTGCACGCCGCAACTTCAGGCGATTCGGTGTGTTGAGGAGCCTCGCCAGCAAGACGGAAATTCAGGGCGTGGAGCATACGGTTGGGGATTCGATTTGGGTTGCGCAACTCGGCATGGTAACAGCTGTCGCAATTGTCGCGAAAGCATTTTTGCGAAAGCTGGACGTGGGTTGCACAAGCCACGTCCAGCCTGGCTCCGAAACCCACTTCCGCAACCCAAACCGAAACCCATGTCCGCGCGAATCAAACGGACAACAACTTGGTCGAGAAATCCAACCCTACGTCCGAGGGACTTTTCGCCCAGCGTACCACGAACCCAGCATTTCGCCAAGGGGGCTCATCGCCAAGGCGGGATTTGTCCCAACATTTGCGAATCGAACAAAACGTAACCCTGTTTCTGATTTCGCCCAATGTTATAAATTTTGAATTTTGAAACTTCCACAGCCCAATGTTCCAGGTGCGTTTGGGGCTTGCGCTGAGTTGCGCAAACCCATGTTCCAGTTGCGTTACAGGGTCAGGATTCGTGGGTTGTGCTACTGGAAGCGCAACCCACAGATGTGCAACCCTAGGATACATGCCTTCAGGATGCTCCCAACTGGGCAGAGGGCAAATCCCAGGGCCGCGGAAAGTGCGCCAAACCAGCGGAGAGTCAAATCACCCCAGCCACCGACTAGGGCGGAGGACACCCCGCGGGAGCCACCACCACCAGCGCGCCGGGGCAGTGGGCTCAGTGGTCTGGGCTCGGCACGGCACGGCACGGCACGGCACACTCTAGGGTCATCCATCTGTCCGCCTTTTCCGCATTCGTCCGTCCGTCTGCCACAAAACTCTACGGCGCAACACAAAACCTGTTCCCAACTCCCAGGGACCCTCTCCCGACCCCCGTGGTCCAGGCTAGAGTTTTCACTAGGACGCTGCTCGAGTGCTCTCTCACCAGGGCGTTACTAAAGGCGTTGTTGTTTGCCAACCTCTTAGTCGGGTTTCCTCCGTTTCCGCTTCCTTTCCGGACATTTGTTCTCTTTTTTAATATTATCTTCTCTGAGTTCCCAGAGCTGACCCATCCCAGGAAACCAACCCCTCGTTTACCTCGCGCTCGTCCCGCACTAACAAGTGACGCTCCTCGAACACGCCATAATGGCCGGCTACGAGGCTGAAACCAGCGATCGGCCGTCTCAAACGTCCGTCAACCCCGCACCCAAGCCTGTCAGAATGTGGGACGTTTTCCGTCCGCACATTCTGGACTGGGTCGTGTTTCTGTTCCTGGTGGGAGGGGCCATCGCCGTCGATGCCATCCACCCCTTCCAGCAATTCGTTAACGCCGATTACATGCAGAAGTACATGTACCCGTTAAAGCCCGACTCGGTACCGTTTTGGGCCGTACCGGTGAGTGCCCTTTTCGATATCTCCGAGGGAATCACTCGGTTTTATGAAACTAAGAAACTCCGATCGTTGTGCTCGTAGCGGCGACTCTGTCGATGATAACGAAATCTGCTCTGCTGCTCTCAGGTAGTACCTGCGCCTCGCTGTCAGGTAGTACCTGCGCCTCGCTGTCAGGTAGTACCTGCGCCTCGCTCTCAGGTAGTCCCTGCGCCTCGCTGTCAGGTAGTATCTTTCCTGCGAAGCCCCTTTGAAACATCCTCTCTTTCCCCCTTCAGGTGTACGCTATCGGGCTTCCATTGCTGGTGTTCGCTGTTTTCTTGATCGTGCGGCGAGACTTCGTCGATTTCCACAGCTCGCTCCTCGGTACGTTGGGAGTCGAATCGATAAATTCCAGAGAGTTTTTGAACGATTCTCCTCATTTCACTCCGCCAAGACCCGAATTCGAGACTCCAACGCGTCAGCTCGCTCCTCGGTACGTCGTGAGTCGACTCGATGGCTTCTAGAGAAAGACATCAGAGGAGTGTTGCCCTCGTTCCGCTGCGCCAATGCCCGGATTTGAGGCTCCAAGGCCTCAAAATTGAGCTCGACTTCCGCAGCTCGCTCCTCGGTGCGTTGGGAGTCAGAGTGGATGGCGCCTCGAAAATGGACTCCTCAGAGTGGATGGCGCCTCGAAAATGGACTCCTCAGAGTTGATGGCGCCTCGAAAATGGACTCCTCAGAGTGGATGGCTTCCAGAGAAAGACCTCAGAGGAGTGTTGCCCTCGTTCCGCTGCGCCAAGGCCCATTCGCTAAGAGCCTCAAAACCGAACTCGATTCGCACAGCCTTATTCCCCCTCGTTCCCACCCCGGTTCCTGAAGTCGCTGGCCATAAATCACCGCAGGTTTCGTCCCCGCTGGTGGCTCCGCCTTCCCCCTCTTCCATGGCTCCCATCTTCCCCCTCCCCCACTCCCTCCCCCCTCCCCCCCCCCCCCCCCCCCCCCCCCTTTTCCGCCTTCCCCACCCCAGGCTTCGTTTTCGCGGGCGCCTCCACCTTTCTCGTCACCAACGCCGTGAAGGTCTCTATTGGCCGGCCGCGCCCGCACTTCTTCATCGTTTGCTTCCCCTCGGGCGTTCCGGTGAGCCGGGTCGGGATGTTTGCATGTGCATCCACTTTTGACGTCACAAACGCTACCACATAGTCTCTATCAGCTGGCCGCGCCCACACTTCTTCATCGTTTGCCTCCCCTCGGGCGTTCCAGTGAGCCGGGTCGGGATGTTTGCATGTGCATCCACTTTTGACGTCACAAACGCTACCAGATAGTCTCTATCAGCCGGCCGCGCCCGCACTTCTTCATCGTTTGCTTCCCGTCGGGGGTTCCGGTGAGCCGGGTCGGGATGTTTGCATGTGCATCCACTTTTGATGTCACAAACGCTACCACATAGTCTCTATCAGCCGGCCGCGCCCGCACTTCTTCATCGTTTGCTTCCCCTCGGGCGTTCCGGTGAGCTGGGTCGGGGCATTGCATGTGCGTCCCACTTTTGATGTCACGAGCTCTCTTTGGGTCTCGATCAGCCGGCTGCCACCGCACTTCCTCGTCGTTTGCCTCCCCTTGGGCGTTCCGTGAGTCAAGGGGTGTTTCTACGAGAATCGGCGGTAGGTCAGGGGGGGGTTCGTTGGAAAGCAGGCATTCACTTGCGCCTACGCGGTCCACCTGTCTCGTCACGATCTCTAAAAGAGTCTTTACTGGTAAGGAGATTGGCAATGGCATTGGCATGTCAATGTGTTTCTTTGGCGCTCCCGTGAGTCAACGCTGACTTTTGAGTCGACTCAGAAGTTCAACGTTAAGCGAGTCTTTCCTTTGGCGCTCCAGTGAGACAATGCGGAGTACTGAGTTCTCGGTGTACTGAGTTCTCGGTGTACTGAGTTCTCGGTGTACTGAGTTCTCTCGGTATACTAATGCACACACCAGCATTTTCCTCGGAACTGATAAATAAGCTCCGAAGCTCACTCTCGGATCCTGTGAGTCACTCGAGCATTTCTGACCACACAGGGACATTAGGCCTCACTGTTCCAACTTCGACTTGATTTTGAGTCGACTCAAAAGTCACAGGGACATTATGCCTCACTGTTCCAACTTCGCCTCTCCCATGCCCCTCGTCCCATGCCAGGTGTACCGCAACAATGGCATGCTCTGTGCAATGGTGATTGATCCAAAGTGGTAGAGTCGGGACTCAGCCTCCTACTTATCTCACCATGGTCTCACTCCTTGTCTCCCATTCCTCTCCTTGTCGCCCTTTCCCCTCCATGGACTCTCCTTGTCGCCCATTCCTCTCCTCCCATGCCAGGTGTATGGCAGCAATGGCAATGCACTCTGCAACGGCGATTCGTCCAAAGTGATGGAGTCGAGACTCAGCTTCCCCAGCGGCCACACCTCCAGTACGATTCACACCAGCGAACACTCTGCATCATGGGCCCACACTCTGCATCATGGGCCCACACTCTGCATCATGGGCCCACACTCTGCATCATGGGCCCACACTCTGCATCATGGGCCCACACTCTGCATCATGGGCCCACACTCTGCATCATGGGCCCACACTCTGCATCATGGGCCCACACTCTGCGTCTTAGACCCACACTCTGCGTGATGGCCTCACAACTCTGCATTATAAATTCACAACTCTCCACCATAACATCACAACTGTTCCTCTCCTTGTCGCCTCAAAGCTAGACTCCTATCACGCGGATTTTGAGGCGCCTCAAAACAAGTGGGTCGGACCTACCGCACACTCTTCGCCTCAGCATAACTACAAAACCTGACGAGAGGGAATGGGCAGCTGCTTTTGAGTCGACTCAAAAGCATAACTTCAAAACCTGACGAGAGGGAATGGGCAGCTGCTTTTGAGTCGACTCAAAAGCATAACTTCAAATCCTGACGAGAGGGAATGGGCAGCTGCTTTTGAGTCGACTCAAAAGCATAACTTCAAAACCTGACGAGAGGGAATGGGCAGCTGCTTTTGAGTCGACTCAAAAGCATAACTACAAAACCTGACGAGAGGGAATGGGCAGCTGCTTTTGAGTCGACTCAAAAGCATAACTTCAAAACCTGACGAGAGGGAATGGGCAGCTGCTTTTGAGTCGACTCAAAAGCATAACTACAAAACCTGACGAGAGGGAATGGGCAGCTGCTTTTGAGTCGACTCAAAAGCATAACTACAAAACCTGACGAGAGGGAATGGGCAGCTGCTTTTGAGTCGACTCAAAAGCATAACTACAAAACCTGACGAGAGGGAATGGGCAGCTGCTTTTGAGTCGACTCAAAAGCATAACTTCAAAACCTGACGAGAGGGAATGGGCAGCTGCTTTTGAGTCGACTCAAAAGCATAACTACAAAACCTGACGAGAGGGAATGGGCAGCTGCTTTTGAGTCGACTCAAAAGCATAACTACAAAACCTGACGAGAGGGAATGGGCAGCTGCTTTTGAGTCGACTCAAAAGCATAACTTCAAAACCTGATGAGAGGGAATGGGCAGCTGTGGCGGAGGATAGTCCAGGTGGCAATTGAATCATCCCCCCCTGTGACCCATGCACCCACCTTCCCTCCGCGTCCTCCCTCCCGCCGCCTCATTCCGTGCGAGAGATAATGGGCAGCAGCGGCGGATATAGTCCAGGTGGCTGCTGAATAGTCCCTGCCTTGACCCATGCACCCACCTTTCCCACAGCTTCCCATCTGCCTTCCCTCCTTCCTCCCGCCCCTCTCTCCATCTTACAGTGTCTTTCGCGGGCCTGACCTACCTCGCTCTCTTTGCAGCAGCGAAACTGCAAGCTTTCAGTGCGAGAGGAAGAGGGCAGCTGTGGCGGATAGTGCCGTCTGCGTTCTGCCTGGCTGGGGCCACCTCTGTCGCCATCACTCGAGTAGTTGACTACTGGCACTTCCCCTTCGACGTGTTCATGGGCGGGTTGATTGGTAAGCGGGTGATGGTTGAGTCTGGGAGGGAAGGGGCAGCTGTGGCGGGTACTGCCGTCTGCATGCTGCCTGGCTGGCGCTGCTTCGGTTGCCATCACTCGAGTCGACCACTACTGGCACTTCCCCTTGGACGTGTTCATGGGCGGGTCGATTGGTAACTGCGCCCATTGGTGCTCTTCCTTTCGTCACCACTACTGGCGTGACTACTGGTGCTTGCTGGTCGATGTGTTTGTTCACTGAAAGCGTTATCGGTAAGCGCGGGCCCGCCCGGGTCTGGGTGTTTGGGGGGGGATTGGTAAGCGAGTTAGTAGCTTCTGTTCTTTTAGTCACCACTGCTGGTATGACTGCTGGTGCTTCCCCTTAGACGTGCGTTTATCAGTGGATTGATAGGTGTTCTCTTGCTGGCATGACTACTGGCGCTTTCCGTTCGACATGTTTATGGGGTGGTTGATTGGTCCTTTGGGCCGGCTTAGATGTGACAAGTTGGAGAAGCCACAGCAATTTCCTTCTCTGCCCCCGTGCCTGGTTGCACCTTTCCTTCATCTCTCCTTCCCATCGCAGGCATGACAATTGCAACCGTTTGCTACTTCCTGCACTTTCCTTCACTGTCCAACCAGCACTGTACGTCCCACACCCATGTAGGAAAATCCGGTAAATCTTGTTAAACATTGTTGGCAAACCAGCACTGTTGATCCTCAACTCTTATCACAGCCTGCACTATTCTCCTTGTCGTCAAACACTGATGCCAATCCCCTATGACAAATCCATAATTTGCCATCTCCTACTTGGGTCCCTCTTTTTTCTCGATTCCCCTACCCTTGGTCATATCTGCAGGCGATATTCCCCTCTTGTCGCTTGGCCCAGATGCGCAATCTTGCCAGCTCTCCTGTTGTGGTGGTAAACGGGCTAGCACAGAACCCCGGCCGACCGAATCTGGCGGTGTATAGAGAATAGGCGGATTCCGAAGTATTCAATATGGTTGAATGTATGGCACGTTTAGAAGGCCGAGTATTGAGCTTATGTGTAGATGTTCAGTTATAATGCACTAGGAGGCATCAAAATCTCATATTTTTCATCTGGGAGCTACTCTGCGTGTACGTGGGTTGTGGAAATGCGCAGTAGTCACACCATGTGACGGGTGTTACGGTAGCGAGTTCCCAGCTTGCGATGCAAGCTCTTGCCAGGGAGGCGTGGACGATGACAAAGCGCGCTTTCGCCAAGTCACGTGAATCAGAACCTAGCTAATCAGCAACGCTCAAATCGAGAACGACGACTTCGCGATTGTTTGTAACTTTCGCAAGCGTCCTTGGTTTCATCGTGAGCTCTCCTTGTTTCGCTTATGGCTGCCCTTCGGGGGTCATAGGTTTTCTTACGCCCGAGACACGCCCTTAGGGCGTGTGTGTCCTAAGCATTCGCTTTCAACCAATACCCTACCGAACCGTCTTAACAAGCTATTCGAACTTTCGGAAACGCAAGAAACCTTACTCGACCGCACTCGGGTGTACGCTTAGGACACGCGCTTAGGGCGTGTCCCAAGCGTACGTCCGAATACGATTGAGTGAGGTGGATTGCGTTTCGGAAGGATCAAATCACTCCGTGAAACGGTTCGCTAGGACACGCCGAATCCTAACCTAGGAGGTTCTGACTCATCATGGACCGCCGAATCCTCACCTCTTCATCCTCCTTGCAGATTCTGCTTGACGACTCCGCATGGATGGATAGCTCAGCTGCTATGGACTTAGGGAGCTCCAGCTTGGACATAGTATAGGCAGGCGCGTGGCCTTCCCTCCTCTTAGAATGTTTCTCGTTGTACTTTTTGTAACTCCCCGTTGTCTCCGTTCGGCGTCTTGCCTCCGTCAGGTTAGAAACATCAGTTAGCGAAAGTTGACGGGAATTTCATCGCAAGGCGGTGCAAACGCACGTGACGCACACGACAGTTTACACGAATTTCACATAATATATTGCACGCACGCCTGAGCAAGCATGTCTGACGTGGCGACGAACGGTCAACCCGCAAGGCGGCGGGGGTCACTTCAGGCCATCTTTCTTAAACATTTTGCCGACTGGGCTGCTCTGCTGGTTATCGTCGCCGCCGCTATCTCCGTCAATTTTATCGAGCCGTTTCAGCGGTTCGTGGATTCCGAGGATATGGAAGGGCTGATGTACCCGTTAGTGGACAACTCGGTCCCGTCATGGGCAGTCCCGGTAAGAAATGCTGGTTCTGCGTTGATTAGTTAGTCCCAGCTTTCATCAAGTTCCAGTGCAGCAGCAGTATGTGTTTTACATCAAGCCCCCGTATGAGCCCCTATGATTTTACGGTTGCTATCATTCTCATCTCCACCCCTGTATCTCCAGGTCATTGCTGGTCCTGGTTCCCCCTGATCCTAGGTCTTTGCTATGGCTCTTGCTGCCATCGCCTTTGTCCTCGATCACACCATTTGGAGGGGCCTGGTAGACATCCACCATTCCATGCTAGATGACAAGCTATAACATCTGGCCTGTCATCTCCATCCCTGTATCTCCATCTCTGTATCTCCATCCCTGTCTCTTCAACCCTGTCATCCCCCCCTGTATCTCCATCTCTGTATCTCCATCCCTGTCTCTTCAACCCTGTCATCCCCCCCTGTATCTCCATCTCTGTATCTCCATCCCTGTCTCTTCAACCCTGTCATCCCCCCCTGTATCTCCATCTCTGTATCTCCATCCCTGTCTCTTCATCCCTGTCATCCCCCCCTGTATCTCCATCTCTGTATCTCCATCCCTGTCTCTTCAACCCTGTCATCCCCCCCTGTATCTCCATCTCTGTATCTCCATCCCTGTCTCTTCATCCCTGTCATCCCCCCCTGTATCTCCATCTCTGTATCTCCATCCCTGTCTCTTCAACCCTGTCATCCCCCCCTGTATCTCCATCTCTGTCTCTTCATCCCTGTCATCCCCCTCTGTATCTCCATCCATCAGGTCATTGCTCTGGCCCCTGCTGCCATCGCCTTTGTCGTCAATTACATCATTCGGAGGGACCTGGTAGACATCCACCACTCCATGCTAGGTAAAAAACGGTTGCGTGCAGCCTGCCATCTCCTGGCTTCCATGGTAGCCGCAGAGAGCGCTCTGCCTGTCTGCCGGTGCCTCTGCCTGTCGTCTCGTATCAGCCACCTTTCAGCCACCTAATAGACATCCATCCGGCCATTTTTGGCATCCCTTGGGTGGGGATTACTGACATCCATCAGGACATTATTCATATCCTTCAGGGCGTTATTCAAAACCATCAGGACATATTTCACATCCATCAGGACATTTGTTCACATCCATCAGGACATTATTCGCGTCCATGAGGACATTATTCACATCTATCAGGACATTATTCGCGTCCATCCGGACATTATTCACATCTATCAGGACGTTATTCACATCCACCAGGACATTTTTCCATTACTTACATCCATCAGGACATTATTCACATCCATCAGAACATTATTCCATTATTCACATCCATCAGGATATTATTCACATCCATCAGGACATTATTCACATCCATGAGGACATTATTCGCATCCATCAGGACATTATTCGCGTCCACCAGGACATTATTCACATCCATCAGGACATTATTCACATCCATCAGGACGTTCTTCACATCCATCAGGACACTATTCACATTCATCAGGACATTTTTCACATTCATCAGGACATTATTCACATCCATCAGGACACTATTCACAATCATCAGGACATTATTCACAATCATCAGGACATTATTCACATCCATCAGGACATTATTCACACTCATCTGGACATTATTCACATTCATCAGGACATTATTCGCGTCCATCAGGACATTATTCGCATCCATCAGGACATTATTCACATCCATCAGGACGTTATTCACATCCATCAGGACATTATTCACATCCATCAGGACATTATTCACATCCATCAGGACGTTCTTCACATCCATCAGGACATTATTCCCATCCATCAGGACATTATTCACATCCATCAGGACATTATTCACATTCATCAGGACATTTTTCACTTTCATCAGGACATTTTTCACATCCATCAGGACATTATTCACATTCATCAGGACACTATTCACGTCCATCAGTACATTATTCACAATCATCAGGACATTATTCACATCCATCAGGACATTATTCACATTCATCAGGACATTATTCACATCCATCAGGACATTATTCACATTCATCAGGACATTATTCACATCCATCAGGACATTATTCACATCCATCAGGACATTATTCACATCCATCAGGACATTATTCGCGTCCGTCAGGACATTATTCACATCCATCAGGACATTATTCACATCCATCAGGACATTATTCACATCCATCAGGACATTATTCGCATCCATCAGGACATCATTCACATCCATCAGGACATTATTCACATCCATCAGGACATTATTCACATCCATCAGGGCATTGACTTGACATTATTCACATCCATCAGGACCTTGACATTATTCACATCCATCAGGGCATTGACGTTATTCACATCCATCAGGACGTTATTGGCGTCCACCTGGAAAATTCCTTCCTCTTTCCCTCCTCTGCTCCCCCTCATCCGCCAGGGCTGCTCTCCACCTTTCTCGCTACTGATGCTTTCAAGGTCGTGCCTTTGGTGCCTCAAATAGCATCGCCTCCTCTACTCCTCCTCTTGCTCTCCTATTGCCCCCCTCTGCCCCCCCTCGTCTGTCCCCAAGGGCTGCTCTTCGCCTTCTTCACCACCTTTCTCGTCACCGATGCCCTGAAGATCTCCGTTGGCCGGCCCCGCCCCGACTTCTTCATCCGATGTTTCCCCTCGGGAGTCCCTGTGAGTTGACTGTCAGGTGTTCGTCCTTTCTCTCGCTTTTAGGCGCTCAAAGACCCGGCTTTTTCATCCGATGCTTCCCCTCGGGAGTCTCTGTGAGTTGACTGCCGGGTGTTCGTCCCACCCACCACCTTCCTCTCGCTTTAAGCTGCTCAAAGACCAGTTTTTTTCATCCAAAGCTTCCCCTTCTGAGTCCCGGTGAGCCAACAGCTGGGGCGCGCGTGCCCCCGTATTAGTTTTCCCTTGGCCAACCCTCCCATCTCACTCATCATGGTCAGCATATCCCCTCAGATCACATCATACAGGCCACCACCCCCTGTCAGACAATCAGGCTCCTAGCGCCTTCACTTTTCTCCGTTGCCTGCCCTCCTCGACCCTCTCCGCCCCTTCAGGTGTACAGCAGTAACGGCAATGCACTGTGCAACGGCGACCCATCCGTCATCAACGAAGGAAGAAAGAGCTTCCCAAGCGGGCATGCGTCCAGTGAGTCCTGTACTGCACCCCGCGGTCCTCCTGTATCTCTTATCTGTTTCCTGTCTCTGCTTCTGTTCCCGTTTCTATCCCGAATTCTGTTTCTGTTTCTACTGCTGTTTCCCATTTTTCCCTCTGTTTCTGTTTCGAGAGTCCTCCTGCTCCCCATCCCATCCCATCCCATTCACTGCACCCACTCCCCCCTCTTCCCTTCCCCCCCTTCATGCCCAGTGTCCTTCTCAGGCCTGGCCTATCTCTCCCTCTTCCTAGCGGCCAAGCTGTACTCCCTCTCCTTTTTAGCTTGAGCTGCCGCCTCTCCCCGCCCCCTCCCATTCACCACTCCCAACCCCCCCCCCTCCCCCCCTCTTTCTACCCAGTGTCCTTCTCAGGCCTGGCATATCTCTCCCTCTTCCTAGCGGCCAAGCTCCATTCGCTCTCCTCCTCCTCCTCCCAGCTCTGGCGCCTGCTGCCCCCGGCTCTGCCCTTGGCGGGAGGAGTGGCCATTGGAATCACGCGCATTGATGACTACTGGCACTTCCCCTTCGATGTCTTCGTGGGGAGTCTACTCGGTGCGTAACGTTTTGTGTGTGTCCATCTTCTGATTGCGCTTGGTACTTGCAACGATTATCATAAGTGGCACCTTCATTGTTGCTCTCTGTTCATACATGCCTGCCCGCGGCACTGCAGTTGTTGCCTTTTTTTGGTGCCTTTTTCATCTTGGTGCCTCTTTCATAATGGTGTCGCAATCACCCCTCGGAGATCTTGCGAGACCTAAAGCCCAGATCCCAAATTAGTCAGGCTGGCATCAAAATGGGCCCAGTTTGATGCTGACCGCGCTCGCGAACTACCCAACAGAAAAAGAAAGGCAGCTACCCCTTCGCCAAAGTGAGGGGCAAAAACGAGGCTGATATATCTACGGTGGAAATCAAGTTTGCAAACTGGGCCCAGTTTGATTCGTGCAGTTTCTGCCGTTGGATCGGGCTTGCCAAACCCAACTCCCATCAAACCCTGCTCTCGCTAGGTTTCCAATCAACGGCTGTAACTCTGCTTACAAATTGGCACTTCATGTGTCCCTGGGTCTCAGCCGTCAGATCCGGGTTTGGCCCAACTTGAACTCATCCCAAACCAAACTGGGCCCAGCTTGCATACGAAATCCTGCGCGAAGTAACAGAATTACATTGTTTCGCACCCAATAACACAATTTTTTTTTCCATCCGCCCACCCCAAATTCTGTCCGTTGACTTGTGTGAACTAATATGGGATCTGGGCATTAATAAAACCCGACCACTTCGCTGCCAATGCTTGAAGTCTTACAGTCTTATGATACCCCCCTCCACCTTTCAACTGTGTTACTGTTTCTTGCTTTACCCCCCCCTTGGTTGCTGTTTCTTGGCACGCAGGAATCAGTTTCGCCACTATATGCTTCTTCATACACTACCCATCTCTGCGCCATGACTACTGTACGTTGCCACATGCACCTCGTTCGTCCCATCCCATGCATTGACATTGGCCGGCACTGTACAACCTTTTTACCAGTATTGTCTCTGCACCAATCTGTATCCTGATTCCCCTTCCTTTCATTTTCATCTGCTGCTGCCGGCAGGTCATCTCCCTCGCGATGTGGTTCGATCGGAGGTTCCCAGGAGAGCAGTGTTGGATGACAATATTGCCCTGTATGATTCACCGGTCAATGGTGGTGGAACATCCCAGGTCTGATGAGATAGGAGCCCCGTTCGTGAGGGTTTCAATTGCAATGGTTCGCACCAGGGCGACCTCTGTAAGGAAACGAAACCATGTATGTCAGCTGCATTTGTAGTGTCAACGTTCGGAAGATATGATTTGATTGCGTTTCAATGACACAAGGGAGCATGCACACGACGAAGCAAATAGGGACAACATTGATACAACTTGGATGCAATCAATCACAACCTACCTAAAACCCACAGCTAGTCTTCTCAGTGACCAGCTCACATCAAACGACATGTGCTGTTTGTATTCCTATCCTACTTCCAACTTGAGGTCAGATTTATTACCATGGGGGCAACATTCACATGCCATCCAATGCTAGCCATGAGTTTTCATCTTAGCTCAAGCTCGCCGTTGGTCTCCCCACCACAACCACTGCTCCCCTTGCAGCACCTCAGAGTCAACCTGTCGCCGCTGCTTGTGGTCGCTCTCCTGCTGCTGCTGCTGCTGCTGCTGCTGCTGCTGCTGCTGCTGCTGCTGCTGAAGATGGTGCTGTGGCTGCTGCTGCAGTAATCGCCCATGGTGTTGTTGCTGCTGCTGCTGCTCCAGAAGCAGCATGTGCTGCACGTCACCAGGAACTGCAGGCGTCCCTCCCGCACCTGTGCTGCTCTCGAAGCTCCCCAGAAACACCGCCGCTCTGCCAGCACCAAATACCGGCATGTAACTGGGCGGCACTGCCACGGCAGTCACTGCTACTGCTAGTGAGTCTGACGGTCCAGCAGCCGAAAACGAAGCAGTTGCTGCTCCTGGTACTGTAGCATACACAGGAGTTACTACTGGAGTAGCCACTAACGGGGCAGCTACTAACGGGGCAGCCAGTACTGTAGCTGCAGGAGCAGCGCCTGCCTCCGGTTGAGGGGCAGCGATCAAGTCGCTTCCGCTGCTGCTGCAGCGGCTGCCACAGCTGCCGCTGTTCCGATCCTGCAGCAGGTTTGCACTTACCGCTCCTGCCGGACTGGCGGTTGTGCCGGGCCTGGTGAACAAATGGGGTGGCTCGTAAGACTGCATTGGCTGCAGCAGCTGCTGCTGCTGCTGCCGCAGCCCCTGCTGCTGCTGTGGCATCTGGCTTTGCAGTTGCTGATGCTGCTGCTGCTGCTGCTGCTGCTGCTGCTGCTGCTCCTGGTGCTGGTGCTTCCATTGCTGCTGGCTCTGTAGCTGCTGGTTTTGCAGTTGTTGCTGTTGTGGTAGAAGTAGGTTCTGCTGCTGCTGCTGTTGCTGCTGCTGTAGCTGCAGCTGCAGCAGTTGTTTCTTTTCCTGTAGCCGGCCCAATTGAGACTGAAAGTCATCCCGCCACTGTTGCTGCTGCTGCTGCTGCTGCTGCTCCTGCTGCTGAGGACACGCCGCAGCAGCACTGTCAACACTCGTAGGAAGAGCACCAACAGCAGGGCTGGCAGTCCACGCTTGACTAGCAGCAACACCAGCAGCAGCAACACCAGCAGCAGCAGCGCTGGCACCAGCAGCAGCAGCAGCAGCACCAGAAGCAGGCATGTAACTGGCAGCAATTCCACCAGCACCAGGAGCAGATAGGGTAGGGGATAGGCCAGCCCCAGGAATTGCTGCAGTTACAGACGGGGTGGAGGCGAATGAAGGAGGGAGGGACGATAGGTAAGCGGAAGCAAAGGGCGAGGTGAAGGTGGCAGACTCGGAGACAGCAGCAGCAGCAGCAGCAGCAGGAGCAGGAGCAAGTTCCGCAGCAGCACGAGGTGCCGCTGGTAGCAGGGAAGGGTTTAGGTGAGCTGGCCCTGGGAGGGAGAACAAGAGGTTCGAAAAGCCAGGTTCGGCCGAAGCAGGTTCAGCGGTAGCACGTTCGGTTTCAGGCCCGGGCTTGGTTGGGTTGAGGGGCGTTGAGACTGCGACCTGTGTCTGCAGCTGGAGAGGTGGTAGGGTCGAGCGGTGAGCAAGGGAGGGATGAGAGAGAGGGGGTGGGTTGGGACGAGAGGGTGGAAGGGAAGAGGCATGATAAAGGGGGAGGGTAGGGGGAGGAGAGGGGGGAACGGCAGCCGTAACGGTCTTTGCAGTTGCATCCGTGTGATAAGTGGCTGCGGCTTGCAGGGCTTGGGTGGGTCCAACCCCCCAGGAAGGTCGTTGACTTGCTGTGTTGAAGGAATCGTCGGGTCGGAGACCAGGGTTTAAGGGAGTGAGGGAGGTTGAGGGTGACGGTGGTAGCAGGGGAGAATGAACCGCTTTTTGAGACGCCTCAAGAGGAGGTTTTGGAGGAAGGGGAAGGAGGGAGGCAGAGGGAAACGGTGGGAGCAGGGGGGAAGGAGCGGGTTGAGTCTCTAGGAATAGCCCCAGCTGCTGCTGCTGCCGCTGTAGTTGCACCCTTTGAAACTCCTGCCACTGCAGCAGCTGCTGCTGCTGTTGCTGCTGCTGCTGTTGCTGCTGCTGCTGCTGCTGCTGCTGCTGCTGCTGCTGCTGCTGCTGCTGCTGCTGTAGCTGTTGCTCTTGCTGTTGCGGCGGTTGCGGCTGGAAATACACCAATTGTTGCTGCGCCTGCTGCCCCTCCTGCACCTGCTGCGCCTGCTGCCCCTCCCGCCCCTCCTGCACCTGCTGTGCTAGCTCCCAAAGATTCGCCTGCCCGTGTAACTTTTGTAACAGCAGCTGCTGCTGCAGCCGAACCTGCTGCTCTAGCAGCAACTGGCGTTGCTGCCTCTCGATTGCTTCCAGCCTCGCTTGCTGTTGCTGCTGCTGCTGCTGCTGCTGCTGCTGCTGCTGCTGCTGCTGCTGCTGCTGCTGCTGCTGCTGCTGCTGCTGCTGCTGCTGCTGCTGCTGCTGCTGCTGCTGCTGCTGCTGCTGCTGCTGCTGCTGCTGCTGCTGCTGCAGTTGTTGCTGTTGTTGTTGCTGCTGCACGTGTTGCAGCAGCAGCAACTTCTGGTGCCGCAGCAAGCTCTCCTGCATTTTCTGCTCTTGCTCCTGATTCTCTTGCTGCTGCTGCTGGTGCTCCTCTTGTTGCTGCCTCAGTTGCTGCTGCAGCTGCAGCTGTAATTGAACCTGCTGCACTTGCTGCTGCTCCTGTAATTGCCACTGGTGTTGCTGTTGTTGTTGCTGTTGCTGCTGCTGCTGCTGCTGCTGCTGCTGCTGCTGCTGCTGCTGCACCCACTCTTGCTGCTCCACCTGCTGCTTCTCAATGAAATCTCGCAGCAGCAGCTCTCCCAGAATCCGGTTCTTCCTGCAACAGAAGCAGGCATGGGAAGGGGATGTGAGAGGGGGGATTGGGACTGCACCCACTCCTGCTGCTCCACATGTTGCTTCTCTATGAAATATCACAACAGCAGCTCACCCTCCCAGCAACTCACCCTTTAAAGATCTCTTTCATTTCTGGGTTCGCCTCGTGCCCGCTCTCTCTCCCACCGCCTCCCCTCCCTCCTTCTCTCCCTCCTGCTCCCCCACCTCCCTGCCCCCCTCCCCCTGCCAGCACGGAATCCCCTCCGTAACCCACAGATATCCGGCTCTCTTGCTTCAGAGAGCTCGACAGCCCTCCTCCACCCACCCCTTCCCCACCTCCCCCCTCCCCTGTTCCACTATCCGACCCACCTCTCCCCCCTCCCTCCCCCCTCCGTTTCCTCGTCTCCTCCTCCCCTCCTCCGCTCCCCCTCTCCTCCCCTTGTCCTCCCCTCCCCTCTCCTGACTCACTCTCCCCTTCCTTAAGCTCCGCCCACTCCTTCGCCTCCCCCTTCCCCAGAAACAGCCACTCGCACGCCTCCAGTGACAGGTGTCCGAACGTCATTGGCTCCTGCCCGCTTGCCACTTTCTTCCCTTCCCTCATTCTGCTGCCCGCCCTCCTGGTGCCCAGCTCGTAAGGCGGGCTTCCCCTGCCCGTTTCCCTGCCCGTTTCCCTGGCCGTGCTGCTGCCCCCGCCGGCCGTTCCTTCCCCGCTACCACTGCCAGTAACTCGGCTGTTTTTCCGGCGGGCCTTGCCTCCTGCCCCGCCCTGCTGCTGCTCCCTCTCCTCTTGCTCCTGCTGCATTTCCAGCGGCCAGAAGTTCCGGTCAGGGATAACAGATGACTGGTGCCACTTCTTGTGAATTTCCGCAAATTTCCTGCCGATCAGAGAGAAACGGGGGAAACGGGGGGGGAACGGGGGGAACGGGGGGAACAGAGGGAAACGGGGGAAACGGGGGGAACGGGGGGAACGGGGGGAACGGGGGGAACAGGGGGAACGGGGGGAAACGTGGGAGGGGGGGAAGGGGTAGGGGGGGGGTGTAGGGGTGGGGATGAAGGAATAAAAAGGAGGAAATGGGAGAGAGGGGTGATCACAATGTTGCTAGACAAGTACCGAATCGTTTGGCACATCAAGAACGGCGATAGGATTGTTAGGAGATTCTGCTGCGGTACAGGGTGCCATTCTTGGCAGAAAAACGTCCAGAAGGGCAAGAAATAGGCAGCGATTTATAGTCGGCAGCTCACTTCAAGTTTTAGGAAGGTGAATCGATTGCCTGATAGGCACGCCTAATTGTCGCGCAGCGGCACCCACCTGTCTACGCTGCAGCACACCCTAGTACCTATTCCAACAGGTGGCTACTCGAGAAGGTGGCAGGCTGCTCACTTTTTGAGGAAGATGAATCGGTTGCAGCACGCCTTGTTGTCGCACAGCAGCACCAGCCCACCTGCCTCCACTACAGCACACCGCAGTTCCTCGTGCCACAGGTGGTAACTCGTGAAGGTGGTTACTCGGGACGGTGGTAACTTCAGAAAGATCGACAGCTTACTTTTTGAGGAAAATGAAGCGGTTGCAGCACGCCTTGTTGTCGCGCAGTGGCAGCCGCCCGCTCTTCTCCAGCGCGCCCCACTGCTTCGTGCCCAGCCGCAGCGCGTGGCGGAGGAGAATGGCGTCCTCCTGAGAAAGAGGCGGAAAGGGGGGGTTTGGAGGGGGGGGAGGGAAGGGAGTTGAGTAAGGCCTACAGTCGCTCTTCTCCAGCTCGCCCCACTGCTTCGTGCCCACTGGCAGGCGCAGCGCGTGGCGCAGCAGAATCGCGTCCTCCTGCGGGGGAAGAGGGGAACGGCGAGGGGGACGGGGAATGCGGGGAAGGGGGGGCGGGGAATGGAGGCGGAAGCGCGGAAATTGGGGGAGGGAAGGGGGGGGTGGGAGTTGAGTAAGGCCTACAGCCGCTCTTCTCCGGCGCGCAGCAATGCTTCGTGCGCGTGACTGGGGGCACGCCGCAGCGCCCTGGCGGAGGAGAATCGCGACCTCCTGGGAGTGGCGGGGGCGGGTGCGGGGTGGGAGTGGGGGAACGGAACGGGGGGCGAGAGTTTGTGGGGAAGGGGAAATAACTCACTCCCCTTATCGGACGCGGAGAAAAAACAAGGACGGGCGGGGGGGCTTGGTGCCTTGCGGCGCGTCGGTGCGCGCACGCCTTGCTCCACTTAACAGCGCAATGCGCGTGCACCGCTGGCCGGTGGCGGAAAGATGAGGCGCGCGTGGGAGGCGGGAGCGTACTACACGATACAAACGGGTAGGCGGGAGGCGGGTGCGCCGCTGAGGAGCAGAATGCAGTATGCTGCTCTGGGTGACGCCGCTCTGCGCGGGGCGCCGTTCGCGGACACTGCTCTGCGCGGGGGGACAGGCTGTCGAAGTCGAATCGGATCCGCGGATGACAGCGCTAGTAGCGTCTTCTAAAAGCCACTGGCGTCGGCCTCTACTGGAGTTGGCCTCTACTGGAGTCGGTCTTTACTGGAGTCGGTCTCTACTGGAGTCGGTCTCTACTGGTGTAACGTCTGCGGACGGAAAATATCCTAGAGAATGTAAACCCATTCCGCTGCGCCTCTGGGTAACCTCGTTTTGACCCAGTGGGTAGCGAGGCGTTATAACTGGAGTCGGTCTCGAAGGGTAGCAATCCGAATCCGAATCCGTAGGTGCCACCTGCTTTGGGGGGGCGGGGGAGGGGGGGGGGGTCGCACGAGCGCGCTGCAGAGGGTTCAGTCAGTGCTCGTCAGATCGGAAGGTTTAGAGTCGAGCCGCCGCGGCTCTCCTCATCAGGAGGCAACGAGGAGGCGAGGCGTCGACTGCCACGGCGATGGCGATGGCGATGGTGTCGTCCACGTATCAGCGGTACTAGTAGCACTTCTAGAGGCGCCTCAAAAATAGACTCCTCACCCACGTACAAGCGGTACTAGTAGACCTTCTAGAACTGCTTGTTCAAGCAAACGGCGTTGGACGCGGGACGGCTGACGGCACGGAAAGGCAGCACGTTGAAAGGAGAATGGGCTGTCCTTCGCCACACTACTTAGTAAGTAGTTTAGTTTTGGGACGTCTTAAAACTTAACGACTTCACCACGGGAAAGCGGCACGTTGAAGGAGAATGGGTTATCCTTCCGAAGGACGGCTGACGGCACGGCGAGTCGCCGTTCGACCTAGACGGCACTACTACTGCAGTGGACTCGTTTCTGGGAATTCTAAACAATTGCTACAAGCGCTACCACCACTGTCGCCTTGGGGTACTTTGACGTGGTTTCTTCAAAGCCTTGCCGCATGTCCACGGTTCGCATGCGGTAAGCTGCTTTTCTAGAATTCTTAACAAACAGCTCATCTCCACGGTTCGCCGCATGCGCGACATTTAACACGCGCTAAGAGGTGCACCTCTTTAGTCCACATGCGCGACGCCTGGATGAGCTGCAGCAGCGGGTCGAACTGAGACTCGTCGTCGTCATCATGATCGCGATGCTGAAAACCGTCCCCTCCGCCGCCGCCGCCGCCGCCGGCCGCCATCGCTCAGTCAGCCTCGGGATCTCCGTCGCGTCGCGTTCGATCGGGAAAACTCGTCGTCGCAGGCGTTGAATATTTGTAGAATGTGGAATGAGAATCGAACAAAATCGAATGCTAACTCAGCGATGGCGCTGGTTTCTATGAAGGCTTCTATCAGTACTAGCAGTCGCTTGGTTCCGAAGTCCCCGGAGTCCGGGCCGCGTTGGGAAGAATAGTCGGAGGCTTAGCGTACATGGTAGACAGTTGGATTGGAACACAAAGTTCTGACAAAGATTGTAGTAAGGGCGGGTCCCAAATAGTTCACGTTCTATTCATTTCGTGAAAAGTAACCAGATTTTAACAAGCGACACCTGGTTTAAGGTTTCGCCAGGACACGTCTGAAATATTGACGTAACCTGGGACACCTTTCACATGCGTCGGGCCATGTACCAAATTTCGGATTGCAAACGTAAAAAAGCCGGAAGGTGCAAGATTCGGGGACGGGGTTCAAAGTGTGTCGCGCCTGGATATCGCCCCGCTGGCGATGGCGAAGACCGGGCGACGTCGCGAATACATCTGCGGGCGCGACGCCATACCGCATCCGCAACTGAACGCGCCACTAGTTGGACCACTCTGCGCCGACAGAATGGGGTGAGTTTCTGGTTTCCCCACCCCTACCCGCCCAAGAAGCCCCAGAAAACAAGAGGCCCCGCCGAGAAGTCCGTCGAGAAGGCGTGAAAAAATTAAAAAACATACACACACTTATGTTTCGCGCCTGCTGTCTTTTGCGCGGTGTGCGAAACTTATGTTTCGCGCAGGCTTTCATTTGGTAACTGCGTTTGGGGCTGTTGCGCGCAGCTCAATTTTTTCACATTTGGACAATTGGCGTCCCGCTTGTGCGCCACGTGCGCACAGGGACACAATTACAAAGATTTACGGAAACGGAATCGTTTCAGGGATTTGTACCGGGATTCGTAAAATCGTGTCCCGTACCGTGAAATGAACTATTGGGACCCGCCCTAAAGAACTGGAGCCTTAGCACGCAACAAGAAGCAAAGATTTGGCACTTTGGCAGGTCTGGTCAGGATGACAGTTGCGGCAGGACGAATAGTGTGCTTGCAGGTCGGTCTGCCCTTGCGATTCGTGGTCCCTTCCTCACTGTTCGCCTCGGTTCTTCTAGAGATACGGAATAATGATGCTGGCAGCAGGAATAGAAGACGAGGACAAGGAGGAGGTGTGGTGTGGAGGGGAAATCAGGATGAAGGTGGTTGGAGATAATGAGAATCGACGGCAGCGAAGAAATAGAAGCGTGAAATGAAGGGACGAGATTAAAACACAATTGTGATATGACAAATGGAGGGCGGGGGGGAGGGAGGATGAAATGGGGACTTACCCTCAGGTCATTCTGCGCTGGAATTTTTAGGCCAATCGTGCGTTGCGCGCAGCGGGCAGGCCAGAGGACCATGCGAGTGGCGGTCGCAGAATTCGCTCTCGTCAGCGATTAAATTGGACGATCGCCCACAGGCGAAATTGGCTTTGCTTGTCCTCTCGCTGTCAACGAGGTCACATTATGCTCTGCAGTTGACGTTCGCGACAGGCGCTGCAGCGTCAACAGTCTATCCCTCATGTTCAGCCCTGTCCTTTCCCGCGTGCTGCCTGCCATGTCATGTGACCACTCAACCTGCTGGACTGCACCGAAAACACCACACAAACACTAACGGTTTATTCAATAGCGAATATGTACAGAAACAATATCGAACAAAACACCTATCACTCTATAAGATGTATTATGAATTGGATGAAGCACATGGCACGTGATAACAATTCATTATAAAGAATACTTGATTCAATTATTTTTAATGTATGAATATCATATATAAGATTAGAAATTACCAAATCTCAAGTAAGTCATTCTATACAATATTATTGGACTACACGCATCGTTGTAGCGACGGGTCGTAGTACTGTAGTGGATCACCGTCAAAATGATGGGTGGAAGAACATTCAGGCGTTGGTAGCACGTGGAGCTGGTTGGTGTGGGTGGGCATTTTCCGCGGGGGGGGGGGGAGGGGGGGGGGGGGGGGGGGGGGATCAGCTTTGATTGGTTGCGTGCGGAGCCTAGCGAAGGGTAAAACAAGGTGCGACGTTTAGCATCAGAAGGGTTACGTACCCGGAAAAACAAATTCACGTTGTTGGGCTGAGAAATGCCCTTGGAATCTTTCCAGAGACGAAGTCCCAGTTGTAAAAGACTTGAGTAGTGCAGCGGAAGTTGAGTAGTTGAACCCTTGTACTAGTATATGAGAACAAGTGATTGATTAAAAGAAACAAGCATACAGCAATATATAGAAAGCAGGAAAGTAAAGCAGTTGTAGAATACAATTTAAGGAGCGGTTTCTCGAGTCGCACAGCGACTCGATTGCCAGTTCTGTTACCATCCTTGCAGTTGTAACGGTCAGTCGCAACCTCCGGTCGCGACTCTTCGTGTCCATTCGTGTTCTTTGTCCACCCCTTCGTGTTACCTCCGTTGACTCGCGTACCCGTTATGACTTTCCTCGAGTGTAGTGTTTACACTTCAGAAACGCTCAAGTCTTTGAGATATTTCCAACACTCCCCTTCGTTTCTGGAGTGCTGACGTGTTTAGATCCGGTGACGTTTGTCTGCCCGGTCAGCAGCATGCAGTAGTCGAACTTTGCCTTCGCCAGTTTCTTCGTCAGGTAGTCTGCGGCCATTTCTGTTGTAGGGCAGTAACTGAGTTGAAGTCTCCCCTTCGTGATTTCATCTTTGACGAAAAAGTACCCAGGGCAATGTGCTTGGTTCGGTTGGCGAAGCCGTCCTTGTTCGCGATTTTGATCGCAGATTGGTTGTCGCAGAGGAGTGAGAAGACGGGCAGGGTCACAATCTTCACTTCCTCGAGCAACTCTCGCAGGTAGAGCCCTTCCTTGGTTGCAGTATAGAGGGCGATATATTCTGCTTCAACCGAATATAGTGCGATTAGTTCATGTTTGCTCGACTGCCAGGAGATAGTCCCGATAGGTTCTAGTCGGTAGATGTAGCCCGTTCTCGATCATCGATCATCGATCTCCCGCGTGGTCGGCGTCGACGTATCCGAGTAGTTGTACGGATGATGTTGTTACTTTGCTGTAGGTAAGTCCGGTCGTTGGCGTAGAGACGAAGTAGAGTAGTGCCCGGTTTAGTTCTTCGAGAACTTCTTGTTCCGGCTGCTTCAGGTGCGTCGTTAGCTGGCTTGCGCTGTAGGATAGGTCAGGTCGGCAGGTTACTGCTGCGAATAGTAGGCAGCCGAGCTTCTGCTGATACTCCCGGATTCGCTTCGCGGGGAGTTTTGCGGAGGTGTCGTTGTTGTTCCCGTAGCGGTAGGGAGTCGTGACTGTAGTTGGTGTTAGTCCGAACTTCTTTGCGACAACGCCTGCATACTTTCCAGCGTATAGGTAGAACGCCGAGTTGTCTTCGACGACATTCAGACCCAGATACTCGGTCACTGTGTCGGACACCGTGAGTGTCAAGTCCCCTTTCAGCTCCCCTTCGAACCAGGTGGCGATGTCGGTAGTGGAACCGATGTAGAGCAGGTCGTCGACGTAAACGATGAGTAAGATATACTCTCTTCCCTTCTGCAGTCGGTATATGCCTTGGTCATGCGCCTGCTGTAGGAATCCGATTCTGACGAGGCGACCGTGAAGATGCTGCTGCCAGAGCCGCAGGGCTTGCTTGATCCCGTAAAGGGATTTTATCAGCTGGCATACTTTTGTGGGGTCGTCGATGAATCCGTGGGGCTGCTCGACGAAGATTTTGGCGTCCACAGGTGCGTACAGGAAGGCATTTGCGACGTCGATCTGGCGCAGTGGTAGTTTCTTTGTGGTCGCGACGGCGAGTGGATGCGCAAGGAGGTGTGACGAGAGACTGGGGCGAATGTTTCTGTGTAGTCAGTTCCATATCGTTGATCAAATCCTCGTACGACCAATCGAGCCTTGAATCGTTCGATGGAGCCGTCTGCATTGGTCTTGATGCGGTACACCCATTTTCCCGAGAGAACGTTCTTCCCGTTGACGTTCGTTGCAGGTACCAGCTTCCATGTATTTCGGTCTTGCAAAGCTTTCAGTTCCTTTTCCATTGCCTCCTTCCATTTCGCCTTATGTTCCCCCCCCAGAGCCTGCGACAGAGTCGTTGGCTCGCGCGGAGATGGCGGCGGCGGGTGCTGGACGGAGACCCATAAGCCGAGGATTGGCAGTCCCGTGGGCGTGTGTCGAGGGGAATTTTCATTCCCGGAATAGGTTGCTTCGTCACCATCTTCTGGATCAGGTAAGAAGTTGGGGCCGATGCGTTCTGAGATATTCGTGTCGACCGGGTGAGGTGTAGCGTAACCTTGGTCAGCAAAGTGGTAGAGGGTGTCGAGGTTGTTGCTATCGAGAGGAATGTCTTCGTCAAGTGGAACAGGTACGGAACAGAAAGGGAGTGGTCCGGCAGCTTCCGAAGCTCCAGGTACGTCTTCTTCTGATGCGTCAGCCTCGGCAGCACGGTCGGCGAAGGAACGAAGGCCCGCGAGGCCGTCGGTGGGGTCGTGTGTGTTGGCAATGTTGTCCAGGTAATGCTGCAGCGTCAGTCGCTCGTAGAAGATAACATTACGTGATGCCACTGTAATTTTGTCTTGTATGTCGAGGATTTTCCATGCGTGAAAATGTTTGGCGATGCCGAGGTGTAGTCCCCACCGTGCTCGTTGAGTGAAGCGTCTTGCTCGGGTTGTGTGGGGTCTGTACTGTACCATGCAGCCGAAAACCCGAAGTAATTTTGTGCTGCCCCTTTTTCGTGTCCACAGCAGGTGCGGTAATGCGTTGTTGGGAATCGATGATGATGACAACAGATTGTGCAGGTGGACTGCATGTGTCATCGCGTCTGGCCACAGTGTGTTGGGCAGTCTCATCCCCAGGAGCAGCTTTCGCATCATCGTCTGCAAGGTCCGGTTCATTCGTTCTGCGACCCCCTGCTGCTGGTGAGCGTAGGGCAGAGACACCAAGCGTCTGATTCCTCTTTCCGCCAAGTAGGTCCTGAAGCGTTGTGACTGGTATTCCAGTGCGCCGTCTGACTGGAAGCTTTTGAGCTTCGTTCCTGATTCTCGTTCAGCGATGGGAAGCCACGTCTTGAAGGCTTCGAAGGCTTGGTCTCTCGTCTTGAGGTTGTGTT